CAGGGACATACTACTTGCTTCATCATGCAGTCATCAAACCGGACAGCACCACTACCAAGGTTCGAGTTGTGTTCAATGCATCAAGTCCATCTTCGAATGGGGCTAGTTTAAATGATGCGTTCTACCCAGGCCCAGTTTTTCAGGCCGATCTCGTCGACTTGCTATTGAAGTGGCGATTTTTCAAATATGTTTTCAACGCGGACATCGAGAAGATGTATAGGCAGATTCAGCTGCATTCATATAACACGCCATACCATAGAATTCTTTTCAGAGAATCCCAAAATGAGGCGCTGGTGGATTATGAGTTGCAAACGGTGACGTTTGGTGTCAACTGTGCCCCGTATCTGGCAATAAGAACTCTTCTCCAATTAGCAGAAGACGTTANCGTTCAACCCAGGCCCAGTTTTTCAGGCCGATCTCGTCGACTTGCTATTGAAGTGGCGATTTTTCAAATATGTTTTCAACGCGGACATCGAGAAGATGTATAGGCAGATTCAGCTGCATTCATATAACACGCCATACCATAGAATTCTTTTCAGAGAATCCCAAAATGAGGCGCTGGTGGATTATGAGTTGCAAACGGTGACGTTTGGTGTCAACTGTGCCCCGTATCTGGCAATAAGAACTCTTCTCCAATTAGCAGAAGACGTTAGTTTGCANATGAGGCGCTGGTGGATTATGAGTTGCAAACGGTGACGTTTGGTGTCAACTGTGCCCCATATCTGGCAATAAGAACTCTTCCCCAATTAGCAAAAGACGTTAGTTTGCAGTTTCCATTAGCTTCCAGGGTTTTAAAGCAGCATATGTACGTGGACGACGTACTTGCTGGAGCTCATGATACCGAGACAGCAATTCGCACGCGCAATGAACTCATAGATGCGCTGAAGGGAGCTGGATTTCCACTCCGGAAGTGGACATCGAACTCCAGGGAAATCCTGTCAGCTTTGCCAAAGGCTCATCTTCTGAAGGAGGATTTTTTGGAAATCGACGATGTGAGCGAGGCGAGAATGTTGGGAATTCGATGGAATGCTGCTCACGACATGTTTCACTTCAACGTGCAAGAGATCCCAATAAAACCATGCTACACCAAACGGGAGGTTTTATCGTGTGTGGCAAAATTATTTGACCATGCAGGGTGGTTGGGCCCCATTGTGGTAGAGGCAAAAATTCTTATGCAAGACATATGGCTAACCAAGATAGATTGGGATGATAGTCTACCTCGAACCCTTTACCAGCGGTGGGAGAACTTTCTTAGAAATTATATCCATATTTCAGAGATTAAAATTCCAAGGTGGATCAATTTCACACCTTGGAATGAAATTGAGTTTCATGGATTTTGTGATGCCTCAGAGAAGGCGTATGCGGCAGCGTTGCATGTAAGAGTACGCGAACGTAATTCAAATAAGACCCCGGATGTAAATTTACTTGTAGGTAAAACAAAAGTAGCCCCAGTAAAAACCGTCTCTCTACCGCGATTAGAGATGTGCGGGGCACTACTTTTGCCAGAACTAATAAATGCTTTACTTCCGCAGTTTGACGTAGCCCAGCCAGT